AAACCTCTAAGTGTATTAGGAACAGCAAACTTACAAAGGAAGTGATGGCTTTTACCAGCTTTCAAAGAATTAAACAAATGGTTATGACAGCTGAACAGGCTGCCAAAAACCTGAATAATTTCTTTGTATAGGTCCTCCCTTCACAGGATGTCAGGCAGTTCACTACATTGATCTTACTTGTGTCAGATAAAGATGGAATAGTGTTAAGGAACAGTTTTTCAAAGGAAGAGGTAAAAAAACTCCAGGACTGTGTGAAAGAACACCCAGGAATTGCAAAGACATCCAGTAATGAGGATATTAGTTAAAGTTTCCAGCACTGACACATGACTTGAATTGAAACTGCCACTGATTAAAACCACCACACAAAGAAAGAGAATAGTAGCAAATTTGTGGATGATCCTAGAAAAGTCAATAAAATTTACATTAGATGAACTGGATGAAGTGCTAGCTAGAAGTAGTTATAAACCACCCCGATGAAATGATATGACAGAACATGAATGATGCTTATGTAAAGAAAAATCTTGCATCTGTAGAGCAGGAATCCTTTAAATAATTTAACAGATAAACAGAATTCATAGCCACAATTTGTTTGGATTTTAAAAGCTACCAATATCTACTGAAGTATTGATGAAGTAAATAATTATTAGTGATGAGTTAGTGTGAATAGATTTAAACAACTGAAAACTAAATTTAAATGAATTTATTTTAAGTCAGTAGGCTGTAGGCCGAGTAACTCGTAGTCAGCATAAACAACAGCTAACATAATTTATGGTTGAACCTTCTTCCCCCTCTCCTAATGAAGAAGAGTAGCTGTTGCCATTGCATTATCTAAGACTCCCTAAGCAAAACAGAGGGAGATAAGGAAAGCCAAAAAAAGCCTCCTTGGAAAGATAAAGAAAGGAATGCAACAGCTGAGGGAGGAAAAGTGACTGCTGAGGTAAGCAGAGGCATTACCAGCTTTAAACAAAGAACTGGAAAAAAAATTATAAAAGGTGACCAGAACAGAGAACTTGTGAATACTTTGAACTTGTGAATGCTTTGAACTTAAAGGAGTTGAGTCTGCATGATCTCTGCTGTAGACCATCTCCAGATTCTCAAGACTCACAGGACATCTGGCCAACAGACTGGTGAGATTTTATTAACAGAGGCTACATTTCACCGCTTAGCTCTGCATAGTTGTGTATGTTCCAGTAAAACTTGTCTGTTAGGGTTAGACTTTTTTATCTCAGCTGTTGACTGCCCGCTACCCACATTTATCACTTTGGCCATGGATTTGGCATTTCTGGGTGGGCTTGAAGCTTAAGTAAACTGAAAGAGATAACCTTCCAGGACTAGAGGTTTGAAGGATCATAATTTCCTTCTCTGAATTCAAGGAAGGTGATAGTGCTGAGATAACTTTGTTTTAAATAGGAGCAGTTATCTCCTCATACATTACTATAAAAGAGATTGGAAATAACTGGAAGTTAGCAATTCATGCTTCAAATGTATATCCCTCCCATCTGGTCACCTGTGGCATGCCAGGAGGCATACTTGTGGCATACCTGGTGATGCATCTGATGTCAGGAAAGGCTGATAAGGGTCATGCATCAAACCCTGGGCTAACAAAGCAGTCACTGCCTCAGCTGAACAAAGGGGTCACAGTAGGAGGTCAGGATCTGTCTCTGTTTCTGTCTAGATGAAGAAAAAGCTATGGAAGACCATGAGGGCTTCCTATGCAAACCAAGACCCCAGAAACCACTCTTTTTGGATGGCACTGTTAAAGTTAGAGAGCCAAAAAAGTAGAGGGTATGTTGGTTGTTTTGTAGGTGGGCCAGATTACTATGGAGGGGGAACACCTCACGTGGGGTATGTGATGGTGAGTGTAAGTACTAGCAAAATGATCCAGGAAAAGTTGCTGTCACTTTATGCTCAGGCTGACAGGTTGCAGCATTAACAGACACATTGGTGGACCAACCACTGCCAGGATCCTGTTTCAGATTGTGTAGTGAGGAACCAGCTCTTGGTCTGGAGGAAAAGGGCACGCAGACAGTAGAGAGTATACGTCCTTTAACTTCAGCATGCTAAGCCAGAAAGTCTTTAAGAGACGGCCTGATCCATCATCTCAGGTAAGAAGGACAGAGAGCTTAAGCATGGTGGTACTGCAAGCACAGTATCTAACCCTGTCTGTTTTAGTGGAAGAAGGGGAAAGTTTGAGATGGAAAGTGGTAGGGTGTCACAAGTCTATAGACTTATATGAAAGGTGGAGAGTGCCTGAACATGCACAGATTGGGTATGTGAACTCACCCTCGGAGGAATTCAGGAATAAACAAAGCCTTGACAAGATTACAGTCATTCATAATGGTCTAAGGTAAGAGAAGATGTAGAAATGGTTGTAAGGAAGAGTATAACTTCCTGACCAGCAGTCAACATAAAAAAGTAATAAGCTCACTAAAGTATTTCTAGACTATGGAGCAAGTTGTGAAATGGACACTTCTCATCCCAAACTTATGCTAGTTTCACCAGCTGACAGAAGTATTTCCAATTTACAGCAAGAAAGCCAGCACAGCTTCTCGGGTGCTGATAGGACAGATGTTTCTCTGACAGAAACTGGCTATGACTTGGGCCTGTATGTCACAGGAAAATTATAAATGATTGCATCTGGCATTAGGGTTTGCACAAAGGCTTCGCATTGCTGGACATCCCTAGGGAGGACTGCTGAACACTGAAGGTGGCTCTGAGAGAAGTTGTAGAACAACAAGACAAAGCCTGAGAAATTAATCTCCCAATAATCCTAATGCTGAAATGGGGAACTGCTGCATCTCCTGGAATAGAAGAGACTTGAGGATGCTCCATTTGTGATTAGGAGCGTGGCTGCCAAATAAATTACAACCATATGGTCCAACAGACAGATGGATTCAAGGCATGTTAAAGACAGTGTCAGCTACACACCACCAGGTAGCCAGACATACATTAGAAGCAAATGTTCAAAAGATGGATAAAGTAACATGCTTGTTGCACCTGGTAGAATGAAATATTGGAGACTGAGTAACAGAGCGCCAAAGAAAAAACCCCATGCTGAGACTTCAGAGGATGAGACCTCTTTGAAATACCAAGTAGGTCAGTCCCACAAGCTAATAGTGAGAAAGGAAAGAAATACTAGGAAAAAATGTTATTTTTTTCAAATTTATATGCATGGAAAAGATATTAATCAAGCTGAGGATTTGACTTTTGTTTTGCAGAATAATAAAAATGGAGCCTGGTTGTGACTGAGAAAATGATAAACCTCACATTGTCCTTGTTTGAGTACAAGTACTTTCAAATTTGTGGTTTCAGGGTTTCCTTTGGTTGCTGGTAGATATAAGCACTGAGTATAAGATGCACCTGTGTGCACTTACACACCTGTGAGAAGTTTTGAGGGAAAAGTAATCATTCCCTGTTAGAAAGACACTCTGTCAAAGGAGTCAGCATCCAGCACATATTTAAAATATATAATATATATATAAAAGGCATAATGAAAACAAAAAAATACATGATGAAATTAAAATTAAAAAAACCCTTAAACTTGTCCAATGTTCAACACTCAGGCTACATGACACACCTTGTCTGTCTACCTTAGACACAGGATAGTTGACTTGGCTTTACAGCTACTTCATATATGAGTATGTCTGATCCTACTTGCTGTCTGTGGCATTGAGAAGAGCAGGGACTGGGAACCTCAGGGAAGTTGATAGCATGAATGCTGGAGCCTCCAGTTAGCTGGAGTCTGCAGATTTGTACAAGACCTCTATGTTCTCCTAACTGAACAATAGCCAAGCTATAGTACTGGAACAATGGTTGTCAGGAGATGTGTTGCCTCTCTGGAAAGAAAAAAAAAAACCAACAAAATGATCAAGTGTTAGTGAAATTATTAGAAAGTGAAAAGAAAATGTATATATACACTCCCTTGTTCTTGATTGCATATGGCACTTGCAGCAGATGCACTGAGATAGAGACAGTCCTCCCCACTGAGATCAGAAAGATTGTGTTGCATTCAGCTATGGATGAACAGTGGCAAGTACAAACTTGATGGAAACTATTCACTTTTATCCAAGATCAAGTCCTCAGTTAAGTGATTGCCTGGTGTATCATTTTAAGATCACTCTGCAAAAGTAAAAGTAAATAGCATCAGCTTATGCATGAAAAGGATGTGTGTGTTTTCAGAACAATGTGTGAATATGATTTAATTAATGACATCTCCAATCAAACTGTGTTTACTGACTCCAGTGTAGCTGTTATTGGATGCCATCTTTTTTTGTATAAACCACCTGTGTTTTCTAGTTGATTACTCGTTAAATACTGTAGCCAGTATGAAAATATAACCCCAAATGCAACTGATAAGAAATTGTCGCACATAAAAGAAATATTAGAACATTCAAATTTTCAATAATTATTACAAATGCAATGGAAGCACCCAGAATGGCTTTGATAATTGTATATCAGAATAGCAGATACTGGAATGAATTGAAAGAAGGAAGAATATCACAGCTGGAATTTTCTTTGGGTGGTCACGTGCAGCTGCTGGAATCTTAAATGCATCATTGTAGGATCTCATTGTGGACCAACTAACAGTGCTAATAGTGCTAATGTGTTTACAGGTGTAAAAATGGCTCACTACTGGTTGAGGCAAGCAAAGCACCAAAGAGACAGTCTGTCACACAGACCAAGGACTGGATAGGTGACTCATGTCTTAGTCAAAGACAAGGCCTCTGTCTTGGCCACCAAGAAGTATTGGCTCCATTACTGGCCACCACCCAGTAAGCCTTAAGTGGCACAGACATGTGCCATGCCAGGCCTTGATGCTGATAATGGTCTCATTTATTACAAGAGGGCCTTCAAAGAAGGTGGGACAAACAGATGGTAGCTGACATGGGCTATAGTTAGCAGAATAACTTCTTCTTGAGCATTTTTCTCTTGCAATGTCAAGCATAGGTGCTGACATGTGCTGTTATGTGACACAGGGAACCGAACAGGAAATCTGGGGAAAATGTCCTTAAGAAAGATAAAGTGATATAACAGCTGAAAGAGGAAAAGCAACTGCTGAAGTAAGCCTCAGAAAAAGAACTGAGAAGGGAGTTAAAAGCTGTCCAGAAGAAAGAAGCAGCAAACAAGTTGAACTTAAAGGAGCTGAATCCACATGGATCCCTGCCCATGACCACTGCCAGGTGCCAAAGACTCCCAGGATGTTTGAGTAAGAGATCGGTGAAATCTCCTACAAAACAGTGCTTGGTTTTGTATAGTTGTGGATGTATCTTGTGAAATTAATCTGTCTTTTGTGAAATTAATCAGTCTCTTGTGAAATTAATCAGTTTCTATCTCAGGTGTGAAGTGCCCGCTGTGCAGATTTACCACTTCAGCAACAAGTGCTGATTCTGTTCTCAAACCCACTTGAGTCTGGTAAAATACAAAGTCAAAACAGAGTAAGTCATATCAGAACCTGTGCTGCATCTGCTCTACTAACTTTTCTGAAATAAAGAGGATATTGGAAGTGGCATGAGTTTTCAGCACAAAATGTGTTCATTTCAATTGACATACTGGGAATGGAGAGTTTATAACAAGTACTTGTTAACTTATTGGATGCACAAATTAATTATTTCACTCTCTTGTATTTAATTGTTTTCTGTTTGCTATCAGTTTTACAGTCTTTGATTTAGTCTTGGGTTTATGTCCCTTCTTGTATACATTTGATATTATATCCATTACTATGTATTTTTCTCTTTCTTTAACTCATTAACTTTCTGTTTTGCCTTTTAGACCAATTTCTTCCTGGAATTGTTTCAGCATGGGTTTTCTGCAAGTTTCATCTTTGAAAGGTAATTTAGGGCTTTCATAGTGAAAGTTCAGTTTCATTGCTTAAAATAAGGCCTTGTTATATAAGAACAAAAAATGACTGATATGCTAAACTTTTTCTTCCCACTTCGGTTATTAAACAAGTCTTCTGGGGGTTATATAAGTTCAGAGATTCTTGAACTTCTGCCAGAACCATGGTACACTTCCACTGGGTATATATAACTCTTTAATGCCTAGAATGCAGCTGGATATGTTGGGTTTACACATACCCAGAGTCTAATGCATGTTGTCTGCTCCAAAACCGATTCACTCTTTTGCCATAACTTACTAGATCGTTATACAATAAAGAGCCAGGTGCCAACAATCTTAGCAACGATGCCCCAGCTAAATCTACTTTAGATGAAAGTGCACCTGCTAGAAGTATTTCCCAGGACATGTAATCATTTAGTCTATGAATTCAAATAATGCTTATTCTCTTGGTTAAATTACACCTAGAAGTCTAGTCAGATACATGAAGAAAACTTAGTGGATATGCCAAAAAATGAATAAATAAGAGTCTCTGATCACTGATACAGATTTTACAGCCCTGGAGCTCTATGAATTCCAGTGGAGTTACTTCAAATTTATACCATTTAAGTATCAAAAGGCTTGGAATCGCTTGTAAGAATTTTCTATTATTCTCTGGAAAAATATTTACAAAGGTGCGTTCTCCTGCAATTTTATTGAATTGTGTTCAGTAGTAATGGGTACATGGCTTCTGTGCCTGTCCTGAACCCTAGTTTTCAGATTTTGGGGCTGCATGACTTTCTAATCATGGACTGTTTCAAAGCTCACCAAGTGAAAGGCTGTCTGCACTGCAGGGGGATTTTATTGCCTTTAATGGATACAGATTTTCCCCATTGACTTCGGTGAGTATCAGCACAGAGTACCAAGTTACCAAAGGTAGTCTACCTTTTGTTACAACTTTTGTTGAATAGTTACAGCTTAGGTGTGGAATATAGCATGCAAAGCCTAAATGGTTCGTTCTGTAAACTGTTGTAAATTAAATGTTATTCCTCAGAAATAACCCTCTTGAAGAGCCCGTTTACTTCCACTGAATATAATAGAGATTAGCCTGAATAGTGGTGGTGAAAGTCCACGCTCTGTTAAAATTGGCTGGGGGAGTAGGTGCTTTAGAGAGTTAAGGAGTACAGAGAACTTTGTTTGCAGATCTGTTAAAATCCAGATTCTGGATGACTGAAAGTTATTATTGTCACACAGCCATGAAACATTAGATCATCTTATGTCATTTCCTGCACAGGCTTATGCTAACTAGAGTTGTCTAATTAGGACTCCTGCTGGGTTGTCCAGGAGAAAGGAAGGACTGAATGGCAGACACACTGGTTTAACTTCTCAAGCCTTATTGCCATCATGATGTTTGTGATTAGAAGTATATTTATAGACTGCTATAATGAACCCTTCTCTGCCTTTGCCCACACTGTAGAGGAAGGCTGTGCCCCTCTCACAGGACAGTCCTTTTCTATCTGAATTTGATGGTTTTGCTTTTCAGCTGAAAGCCACTTTTATGCTGTGTGCACAGTAGGCGATAATAGGTCTTCTTGGATGGTCTCAAGTTATCTAAAACTTTATCAAGTTTAAAATTAGGAATTTTATATTCGGAGATTATGCCAGTTTAGAATTCAGATAATTTTGTTTCATTTTTCAAACGACTACAGAGTCTTCAAAAGTCTCTGCTTTCTTTATTACAAGTCAAACTTCTGTGTGAGGATGAAGTAACAACATGTTTTCAGAAGTTGTGAACATAGTTTTTGAATAAAAGAGAATGTAACAGTAACTATTTTCCATGGTGATAAAGAACTAATTAAAACAAATTAATAAATGGTTTTACTCTTGTAATTTTAAGTAAGTGTAGTGTGGCTTACTGTGAGAGCCCACAGTGGCTGTGCTCTAGAGACATGCAACCTCTTCTGCTGAGGAGTTGGACCAGTCTGTCTTCTAATTATTCTTATCCGGGGTTCTTCTCTGCTTCTGACATCTGCTTGGGTAAAACACAACTGTTGATTTTCATCTTCAAGCAAACATATGAAAAGTAATTAGTCCAATGGTTCCTTTTGCATGTCTCAGGTACTCCAGGCCACAGTTTGTTATCTCTGATATATGGAACTGAGCTGAATGGTGAAAACTATGGACACCCTCATGGTCTGTGAAAAGCTTTGAGAGGTGACTGTGCTCTGTAGGTCCCAACACTGGTGAGTGATTTCTTTCTTGGGGTGGGTTCCTTCACCAGGGTCTGGGCATGTTGCTTTGCCCCAGCAGCACAGAAAGTAGCCCTCATGTGAGATGGCATTAGTGTTAGAGATGTAGGATCAACATACCCGATTTCAGGCCAACGTCCCTCCCCTCACAGAGAGAATTACAAGGGGGGGTCTGTGAATGAGGAGACTCTGCTGTGCTGAGGTTGCCCTTGACTAGCAGTTGTTCCCTTAGGTCTTAGGCCAGAAAATGTAAGATCTGAGTAGCTCTAAGTGTATTTGAACAGAACTGGAACTGAGAGCGGGCTAGAAATAGATCCAGAATCAGAGGGCCAAAACTGATTTCTGTGTATTTTCTTAGCTATACACAGCAGATTCTGGGCACATCTGAGACTATAAAAAGCTATAAACATGTTAATGTGGGTAATATTGCCTGTTCTTTTGGCACTTAACTTCCCTCTTGGAGGAAAGCCAGCTCATCTTTTGATTTTTTTGTGTATATAGATTCTCCTGAGATGCTACATACTCAGGTCAGGCTTTGTGATTTGTGTTAAAGTGCTGTAACTGAGAGTAAATCTATTAATTTATTTCAATGTAGGAATTAGGAATCTGAACCCTTACTTCTATTGCTGAATCAGTAAACAGAGGTTAATAAATTGTGCCAATCTGTAGGGGTTTTTCTGCAGACAGGAACTCAGGAAAAACTTAAAGGTACTTGCATGACGTTAAGGACGAGTGAATTCAATGTAATTTTAAACTTTCAGTCTTTCAGGTAATGGTGTGGAAGAAAACAGACATTATAGGGGGTTTTATTGTCATTCCGAAGCTGGGGAATTGAAACCATTTTTGAGTGACTAAGTTTTGCTGTGAAAAAGAACAAGTATCAATTGCAGATTAGGGTGATTTTGAAAAACAAGCTTAGCAACTGCACAAAGGTTTTATCTGCAAGAGTTATAAAAAATACATTATTTATAGGAGACCAGAAGTGAAGTATTACAAAGGTGAGAAAGAAAACAAGTAAGCCAGGAATGAAAAAGGTATAGTTTGTCTGGAAAGTAAGTGCTGAGTGGTCCAGGCATCTGCACAGTGCAGATGGGACTGGTGTATTGTAAGCTATTGTACATATAGAGAAATATTTAAGATTACAAAGGTTGCTGCTATATATATTTTTTTTCTGTGACTACTGTTAGCAAAATTCACAGCTGGATTGAAGAGACAAGTAGATTTGCTCAGAGAGATAGATGATGATGATGGGCTGAAAATTGTCTTGGTAAGGAAAAAACTGGGAGGAGAGTGGCACAGTGTTGCAGGAGAGACTAATAATTGGAAGGCTGTCAGTGACCAAGAGTCAGAAGAATGAAGCTAAACACAGTACAACTTTTGGCAAATCCTGTAGTGCCACCAGTCCAGATCTCAGCTTGGGAGATTTCAGCATTGTAGATCAGAACAAGTGCTAGTTAACAGATCCCTTCCTCCACTAATGGGAACAATGTAGACCTCACCCATTTCTTGTCACCTGAGCCTGAACACCAAACAGGTGACTGCAGTGATTTTTTTTACTAGCTCTTACAGTTGGTACAGGGGTTAGATGGTGGCTCTGGTGCACATGATGAGTCCCGATAAGGGTCATGTGTAAAAGAGAGGTGATGAAGGCAAGCAACTGGGTACTATTATACAAACAATCGGTTTCCCTCATAAAATAAAGCTGGTGTGAGTGCAATCTGAGTACTCCCGTAATCTGAGTCTTGTTGTATGATTTGACTTAGAGAGCAAGAAAAGGAGCAGAAATTAAACAGGAAGAGAAAAAATTAAAGGAGAAGGAGCATGAACAATTCAAGATACGGGTTTAGCATTTTTACTGCAAAATGAAGCAAATGAAATGTTGATCTGTCTTTTTGAAGGGCTTCAGAGACTTCCAAAAGTTACAAAAAGGCAGGATTTTCATTAACGTAATGGGATTGGTTATAGCATGGTTGTTGGGAAGCATTGCTGAAGAATTTGCTTAAGAGCAGAATAGATAGAGAGGATGCATATAAGAGCTTAAAGAGATCAGTATTCAAGCAGTGACATTTGAGGGGTATTTGGCTATCCAAATTTGTTAAAATTGTTCAGCTTTTCCAAATGCTACCTATAACTAAAAGGAAAACAAGGAGGAAAAGTGTTTTACAGCCAGTTTTATGAAGATTCCAGACTTACTGGTAAAATTGCTGAAACTAGAAGCATCTGCTTGGAATGAGAAATACATTTCAAATGACAGAGTTGTGTTTTATTAAGACATCAGCTAGAAGGTGGAATTATCCTGACTGAGAGTTAGGAAGAGGAAAGATGAAACAAAGGGAAGGAAAGGTGGCAATTCTACATCAGTATGGTTGAATGCAATTGTAAGTAAGGTGTTATTTAAATAAAATAAAAAAACAACCCACAGGTCACATTCTAATCTTGACTTATTTCAGAGTTCTCTTACCAAAACCAGAATTTGGTCTTCAATTTGAGTTATCCTTTTTCATTCTAGTCCATAGGTTAGCAAACAAAAGAGTTTAAGTTAGTGACTCACTTGTCCAAATTAGAATACAGCCGCAAAAACTGACTTAAATGCAGCCAAACCTGAGACTGCACTTGTTGTGCAGGAACATAATTTATATTTATTTCTTTGCTACATATAACTAAAGTATATGACAAGGAGTTGCTATCGAAAACCACTAAGAATTAGGAGCTTATGGATCTGTTTCTGTACACAGATCTGTCTCTTGGGCTATCACCATGGTTTAGGATAGTCTAGACACCATGGAAATCTTTTGCCTCCCAAACATTATGTGACCCAGCTGGAAACATGTAGACAGAAAAGGCAAATGCTTTTACACCCTAGCTCTCTCTATCATTCTTTGGTAGTTATAGGGGGAGCATTCTTGATGTTTGGAAAGTGTTTGTGGCCTGAGTCTCCTTGTCTAGGAAAAATACAGCAGGTATTTTTATTATATTTTATTATATGGATGGAAAACTTCTATGGACTGTACCTGAGCCACAGGCTGCTAGTTGGACTTCAGGGACTGGATTATTGAGAAAGACAAGTCATGTGAAGTGAAGAATATAGATACATTCAGGAGACTGGTTGGTGTCAGAGAAAAGTTAAATCTCATGGTGAAGGTGTAATGATGATGAACAAATATGGGGCATGAGATACTGTGAAGCTACCTGTCATTCTTGTGATTAGAAAGGCAACATTCTTACTTAGTTTAGTTGTTTATTATTATATGTGGCATGTGCAGCTTGAGAAATACACCAGAAGAGTTACTTTTCTACTTCATAAACTCATTCCCCTATTGTTCACTAACCTCTTGTCATTATTACAGGCTCCAACCCAGACCTCTCATTAATCACAGTTGGAAAACTTTGTAGTTTTCAGGTTTTCAGTTCCCAGTGATCTTTTCTTTTTCTTATATATTTTTGTGAGTTTGTGGGAAAAACAAAATTATCTTTCAGCTTCTCTACCCTTGACCAACCATGTGACTTCTGGTGTAGTGCAGATACCATCAGTGATAATGCTGGAATCTAAATGGGTAAACAACAATTACAAACTCAAATTTCATTTGTAAACAAAACCAGAAAAATACATGTTTGCAAAACAGACAAGTACAAAAATGCTAAAAAATCTTCAGTGATGAGACAAGGTAACATACAGAACTGGGTACATTCTGCTCCCAGCTCCTTTGACAGTACTGGATGATGAAACTCACTTCAGGTTACTCTAGATTTTCACTATTGAAAGGAGGAGCAAAATCTAGCACATTTTAAAAAATCACATGCCTTCCTTATGATATCAAAATTTGAAGAGAAAAATGCTTCTTTTTCAGGTCTTAGAAAATCCTGATAGTGAAAAATTCTGCATATCGAGCTGGAGCTTAGAGCATGACAGGCGCAGATTTATGCATCTAATAATACTGGGATCTTAGATTTAGTTTTTGCTGTTGATTGAACGAAATACTATTAAAAGATTGTATCATTATAATAATGTTTCTTTAAATTATTTTGCATGGCTGAGCTAAGTACCTAGCATTTCAAAGCAAGAGTATTATTGTAAGACCCTGTTTAAATAAAACTGGGGTATGAACAAAAAATAAAATAAACCATTTCTTTTTCTTGAACAGTGTGCATTTTTTAAGCTCAGATCTATAACTTTCCTAGAAAGACGTTTCCAAAGCTAAGGGTAAATTGAGGATATTCTGTGTTACAAGAGGTCGGTTCTTTTGGTTGTATGACTGTTCCTCCAAAAACTTTTGAAAGATTCACAATAAACTCAATCAAGAGAGTTTTCTGTTGAAATCTAATGCTTTCTGTCACATCTTTTGCCTGGAGACTAAGAACTTAGCTAACCATACCTGGAGGCAGGGAAGCAGAGGATATGTACAGTGACTGTAAGTGGAAGTGAATGACTGGTAACTGCCCCGCACGGGATAGGATGGAGGGCTCGGCTCAGGCTGAGGCATGCTCGCAGGGTTGTCTTGTTGTTCCCTGAAGATGTCCTTTGTGACCCCTCTCCTTTCCTCTCCCTTTTCCTGGGGCAAGAGGCCCCAGCAGGCAGAAGCAAGGGCAGGGGAAGATGGCAGAACTGGAGGCACAGGCTGAAACGGGGCTATCTGCACTTTCCCAATGGCAACTGGAGACCGAGCAAAAGTCTTGTCTTACATCTGCTCTTGAAGGGGGGCTGCTTTCGGGCGCACCCTGCCTTGTGCACGCTGAGGCGGAAAGAAATGTTCCCACATTCAAATGAGGATACCAGAGAGCACTTCTGCTGTGGTCCCTGGATCCTCTGGCAGTCCACACAAACAACGGCAATTTTTCTGCTTTCCAGACATTTATTTATTGAGTGGAGAAGAGGGCTGAGCACTTGCAGGACAGCAAAGTAGAGAAATGAATAGGATGTTGAGAGAATTAATAATGTCATTGTGGAACTATTCCTTATTTAGTTACCAGATGAAAAGTGGCTCAATCAATTAAACAGGCATCAAACCATACAGCGCCTGGCTGGCCTCCGTGAAAATTGTTTGCATGAAATCCAATTTTGAGTGTACAGACATCACTCCCATTAAGATAATTTATCCAGTTAGTGCAGACTGGGATTTCTGTTGTCCCTCTCAAGAATCGGACTAATAATGAAATAGCACCTAAGACTTTTCTAACCAGGCATCATCTATCAGTTCAGTTTTTGGACTTGAGACCTTTCTAAACATTCTGGGAGTTGCTTATATTTTAATACTATACATTTATTCCAGAAAGGAGAGATAGGGATTTTCAGGTGCTCATCATGTGTATGTGTTAGTGAGAGAAAGATGGCCAGTTCGTTGCATAGGTGTCTGTGCAATGCAGCAAGTCTGTCAAGTTGATGGAATCAAATGACATCTAGTGTGTGCAGTGCAAATGAGCTTTTTTTTTTTTGTACATAGTTATTTAAATGGGATTTTCTTTGGAAGTCAAACCAACAGCCTGTGTGAATGCAGCCTGAACAGGGATCTGAGGCACAGGCAGCAGCTGCAGCTGTACTGCTGTCATTGCTCAGCCTTTCACCTTGCACGTGTTTACTGATTGTAATGGAAATTGTAAAATAATAACAATTTCTTCCTTCTCTCTTTCTTCCTCTGTAAAATGCTAAGTGACAAAGGAGTGTCTAAAGAACAGGCATTTTTGTGGTTGAGGAGCAAGAAAGTAAGGTAAGATTGGAGAAGGCGCTGATGAAGGGGCCTTATCCTTATTTCATTTTGGTGTTAACAGAAGCCTTAAGAAGGCTGGAGTCTTCATGCAAAAAATATGGCAGCAAGTATGTGGCTGTCCCATGCACACCTGCTGCTGCAGCTGGGTGGGAAGGTGGGAGCCGATGGGGGTGCTGATGTACCCCTGCACTGGTTTCCTTTGCCATGGATGGGGCGGCGAGTGGTCCTCACCTGCCCGGCCATGTGCATCCACTTGACACCTCATCCACTATCATTGTCCTCAGCAGCAAAAGAGTGTGGCTGAGGGAGAAAGCAGGGTACTGGCAAGGAGCAGAGCCTTGGGAATGGTGGTGTGGTGCTGCCCCGATAGGCAGCAAATCACCACAAAGCTTGCTCACTCCTCCACTCAGAGGGGTGTGGGGGAGAATCAGAAGAGTAAAAGCGAGAAAACTTGTGGATTGAGATAAGGGCAGTTTAATAATTACAAAAAGGGGAAAAAAAAAAAAAGGAAGGAAAAAACAACAAAGATTGAGGGGTAAAAAAACCCTAAGAAAAACAAGTGATGCGAAAGAAACTGATTTCTCACCACCAACTGACTGGTGCGCCAAGCAACAGTAGCCCCCACCAACTTACACGCACACACACACACACACACCCCCACCCCTGTTTTATTGCTGAGCATGACATCATACAGTATGGAATATCTCCTTGGTCAGTTGGGGTCAGCTGTCCCATCTGTGTCCCCTCCCAACTCCTTGTGCACCCCCAGCCTCCTCACTGGTGGGGCATGTGAGAAAGAGCCCTTGACACTGTGTAAGCGCTGCTCAGCAATAGCTAAAACACCCCTGTGTTATCAACACTGTTTTCATCACCAATTCAAAACAGAGCCCCATACCAGCTACTAAAGAAAATTAACTGTATCCTAGCCAAAACCAGTACAAATGGTTAGGGATGCTGAACCACTGCACTGCCTCCAATCTGTGTTCCCATGTTCAAGGGAGAGGCTTGAATCTCTGGTGCTCCTGTTGTGTAGGAGAAAGATTGACTCAGTGCTTGCTCTGACACTGGTCCTGATCCTTCAGCCAGGGCTTGCATAATTCTCCCCCCAGTGCCGGTGTATACAGTCAGGGAGAGGGGACCCAGTGTAATTAGAATTTAAAAAAAAAAAAAAAAAAAAAAAAAAAAAGCTGAAGGAGAAATAATTACTGCAGTCTTTTTTTTTTTTTTCCTGGCTTTGTTAATGAGGAAATGGAATTGGGAAACAGAGATACTGTATATGAAACACTTTGACAGTTTAAAAACTGTTAGCTGCATCTAGTGAGACTGCTCAGTTTTTAGTACTAATAGCAGAGCCATTCCCAGAACAACAGTTCGCTGCAGTGGTACTCTGGGGATGATGCTGCTATTTGTAACAGTATTACTCCTCTTCTTCTTTTCTTTCTTTTGGTGTTTTTTTTTTTTTTTCTTTTTTTCTTTTTTTCCTTTTTTAAAGCCTCATCAGTCCCCATTTATTGTGGTACTTGCTGTGTGTGATGAGAACGAGGGAGTTTTGCACATTTGGAGTGGCTGCTGTGTGTCTTAGCACCTCTTATCCAGCTCTCCTGAGGATCAGAGGAACAGGCAGCTGCTTTCTTCATCCCTCCTCGTGTGGATACTTCAGCAGTCACCAACTTTCACCCACCTTCAAAGGCAGGCGAGGGGCAGATCGCCGATGACTCTTCATGCAACGAAAAACACCTAACAAAGAAATGTGTGTAAATGACTATTCTTTGCCAGGATTTTACACAATGTTCAGTACAGTAGTTGATAACATCAGGTGAAAGTAACATACTTACAAAGGGAAATGCATCTCTCCGTAGCATTGACATTTTTGCTGTCATACAGGATTTTGTAGCAACTTGGTTGAAGAAAACCATGTATCTGCTTCTTACCCTGAAACAAAGAATAATTAAGAGACAGAGGATTTGGTATATTCTTTTTCTTTTTATACTTTGATATCAAAAAGTTATTTTATAATATGGTATACACTTATATTTTTTAATGCAGGCATCTTGGTGTGGATCCATTTGTAAACATTGCTTGGAAATGCCAAGCTCACATTGAAGGCAATTGGGGTTGGGGATGTAAAGGATCAAGCCCACTCAGCTGTTGTGTAGATTTGCTGATTTACATGAAAACTCACACGCATTTGTTCATGTGTTCAACCACTCCCTTTTTTGTACAAAAATAAATTGTTTCTTAAGCACATACTTTATCTTCTCTCATAAATCTACAGCTGTTGAAATCCAGGCTGCATCCTAATGCGGTTCTTACTACCTCATTTTTAACTCTGGAATGAAGGTTGTGTTGTATAGACTAATATGTATGTAAAGTGTCCACAAAGAAGAAACCCCTGAATTTTATATTCTTTCACATTTACTTGCTACAACCCCAAAGGGTGCTGCACTGGACAGCTTCCATTATAAACATGAACATTTAAATCTGCTGTACACTGGGCCAAGTTCAGAACTGGTATAAAGTCCAATTTGTCTATTAGGTTTGTGAAGAAGGGGATTTCTTGCTTTTCTAGAGAGAGTGGATTTGCTTTCAGTGTAAAAATATGCATTGGCACAAATACCTCTTGAGCTGTGCTTTCTGCAACAGATCTGAATTTGACCTAGTGTGCAAACATGATTTTCACAAATTTGGGACTGAAAAGGAAGTCCTGGATTACTGCATGCAGTCCTTTGTTCACAGATGAAAACAGGTTATAGAATTTCTTTATCAAGCTCCAATTTACTCCAATTATGTATTTTTTTGCCCCACTGTAATATTAGAGAGCTGTTCAGGAACCCTCTCTTCCAAACGTTATTCTAAATCCAGTCTTACATATTCAGGAACAATTTATACCCATTTGTTCTCGTGCCAGCATTTTCCTTTAGCTTAAATAGCTCTTTCTTCTCCGTGTGTTTACCTCCCCCCCAACATATTTATAGGCAGCAATCATAACCCTCATTGTTTATCACATATCTATTTACTATTTTAATTAGAAACAGCAGCCCTGATTTCTTCCTTTTTCTTTTCTTTATAAAATAAAAGATTGATTATCAGATATTTGATGCCACCAATTTTCCTTCTTTTTTTGGTGTTAATTTTAAATGGCATCAATTTATTTAACTTGCTGCTCATATGGAAAAAGAATGTTATGCCTAATTGGCTGCATTTTTGTAGCTACACAAAGGGGACATTGCATAAAGGCAAAGCAATTGGATTCACTGTCAAAACAAATTAGAAAGTATATTTTTGGTTCTTATTAGGGTAACAAAAATACTTGGTTCCTCTGCAAGCTGTATAATCATTTGACCTATTTATGACCTCAGGTGCACTTGGTTCACCTCCAAAGACCAAATGAAGTGATAACTGTAGCTAGTCAATAATCCAGGACTTAGCTGGCCCTGGAGACATTAGTGTTACTGTCCTATGGGTGATGTCTAAATTAGATGGCAGTCAGGTATGTGTACACTAGAGTGGTCATTAGAGTGGGCAGATGTGCTCAACTAATGGCTTACAGTGGGGATTGCTGCAGGGGGAATTCCTTCAGAAAAAAAGTGAGTTAATATGAGACAATAGGCTATACAAAAGGGTGCTTTTCTGTGAGCTGTGATGAATATTTTCAACATACAGTCTTGTTACAATTACTTGGTGGACAAAATGGGTGAATTATTAATTTAACATGAAAGATGAAACTATCTGGGTGGACAAACACTGGCCAGTAATACCATTCAGAGTAAGCTTTTCATTCTAAATATGTAAAAACACTGGACTAAATCAGGAATGCAACATAGAGCCTTATGCACAACAGAATAAACCTCTACACATGTAAGCAAAAAATATCTATGATCTCATTACAGCATTGAGAGCTAACCAGCATTACTCCCAGATCACAAAGAAAACTAAGTGCACAAGTGACCTATGTACCAGCATCTATGCAAATCTCAGGCAGATGCAGAGATTTATACACACTTTACACACCCCTGAGGAAATACCCATTTTATATCACTGATGGAGCAGATGTATTTTCCTCTGTGAAATGTGCATAGAATCTAATCAGAACGAAGTGTTTAATGTATTCAAAACAAGCACACACCATCCCTTAACTTTACTAGTAAACTGGAATAGAGAGCAATGTCATATCTGAACTAATTAGAGGTTTTATTGTGTGCTATGACTATACATTTGCATGACTGCATTAGCAGAATCTTGTGCCATTCCAACTGCACTTCAAATTCTTACCCAGGCAAACATAACTTTTATTCTGATCATAACTGGCAGTGTGATGAAAACCTGCCAATGAGAAATATTACAATTCCTTGAAAATTTGGCTGTAAATTTCCAGTATTTCATCCTGCTCCCCACAACCCTTTTAACTTTGTGGATATGGAAGAAAGAAACGTGAAAAAGCTCTGGGCAAAAGTCAGTCCCAAACAGAGCCCTCTAGAGCAATCAGGCCAGTCCTGCACCTGTACATTTTGCAACAGGAAAGTGAGTATTATGCTGCAAAATTTGATCTTGTAAACTCTTAACAGTTTTGGTGTTATACCACCAGAATAAAAGAACATGGTGCAGTTAATGTCTGTTTAATCCTAAACAGTATGAGATGTATATTTGAAGCATCAAGGCATTTGAATGCATCTTGTGACATGGTCATGGACAATTACATAAGGATACATGAATAAAACATTTTTAGTATATAAACAGAGTAGAAATATAAGAAAAAAGGAACAAAGCATGCAATAATGAATCAAGAAGGAAATTCATCCTTTAATTTTTTTTGGACTTTGGTTCATAGCACTCCAAACAAAGCAAATTACTCACAGTAATGTCCGGAGAAATAAATAATTTACAACCTATCCACTACAAATAGTTTAATCCTCAGGTTTTTTTGTGAGCCCTAGAGATGGAGAAATTATTGTTAGCTTTTCTAAGCCTTTGATACTTCAGTAAGGAGATCCAAAAAGGGGCACATTAGTGTCCCTAGATTTACCTGTAGGATTAGCAAGACGTTAGTGTTGAATTCAGAATAATGAAAGCTAGTCTTACAAAGCAAACTCATCGTTCATCTTGCTTCTGGCATCAGCTGGCAATAACGTTGCAAGGAGGACCGACTGCTTGTTCCAAGGAACTTTTAGCTCACATAGTAACAAAGATATTTGTCAGTCTAATGAAACCCTAGGAGAAGGGAAGATATAATTTGTAAATTATTTCAGTAGCTGAGTTATCAAGGGGTTAAATATAATACAATTATATCAATATGCCAGATGATGTGGCAGCCAATTTTGAGATATGACTTTTTAATGATAAATGGGTTCCTGTGATTATTTAGGATGTTCTTGCTGAATGCTAGTGAGGCAGCTGAAAAGCCAAGATCTCTCAGACGCAGGATGCTAAGGAGATCACTTATAATGACTAATAAAAATGAAGTGTTTTGGTTCTAGAACTGATTCATAGTAATATCATTTTGCAACTACTGAAGTGATGTGAGGAACGTCTAAAATAAATAACATCTTTCAAGGCTGTTGCTCAGAACAATCAGGCCCTTCTCAAAGTGCAGACCTTTCCGTTTGTGAATTAAAAATTAAGCTTTATTTTGCTGGTCAGGGTTTATTAGGATGATCAACTGGAGGTGCAGTAACTAGAGCTAGATTTTCCACTGTTTCCTAGGTTGACATTGGTCCAGCGAGAGGTCAGAGCTACAGTGAGCTCCAGAGCTGAGAATCCTCATCCCAAGTTGTACATGTCTGAATTTAAATGGTTTTACAGTCTTAAGAGCTTATGCTTCTCCAAACGGTTTTCATGGATTTAATGCAGCCTTGCAAAATGTAATTCCCTGGACACAAGCATGGTTTAGTGCTGTAGAATAGTGACCGATGGTAAAGGCAGGAAGGGTTAATTAGTTGATCAGATTTGTTGACGTTATTAGCCATCTTTGAGAAATTCCAGGATCTGGAAAAATAACTAAGTTGATTTGGGGAGACCAAAGAGGGAATCTGAGTATTTCCCACTTAAAGGAAATTCTGAAGAGTTTTGTTGAGAAAGAAGCAAGATGAGGGTTTTGAGAAATCAGAATTTCTAATAGAGGAAGAGATGTAGTTTAAAAGCTTGAGCATGGGCAGAAAAGTATTATTAATTTTCACCCTCTTCGCCATTTAAAATGCCAATTTTGCCTATTTTCAAAAGGCCACCAGTCTGTATTTTACCTGATCTATTATTTGACTGGAGAAGCAACCCTGACGGAATATTTGCCTGTTTTAACAGTAAGAACAAGGTCAACCTTATGTGCTGTTATTTCTCCTGGAAATAGTCTTATTTTAGCAGCAACCATTTCTAAGTTACAGCAACATTTTACTATCACTCTTCTGAAAACCCTTCAGATTCCTTGCACCTGTGTGACAAACAGGAGAGAGACAATGCCTGAGAGAAAAGCATGTACCAAGGCTGAGGGGAGTAGTTGAGGCAGGGTGGATGAAGGTGCTGCTCAGCCCTGGTCTCTTGGAGATAGGGCAAGATGACTCCTTTCTCCAGCCCGGCTGGACAGTTGTAGCCCAGGGGAAGTGGTTATGCTCATCCTCCCCTTCCCTCTCTACAGGTTGGAGCTGATGGAAACATCAAACGACAAGAAGGAAAAGCACAGAAATGAAAAGAGTATGGCAGAAAACAGATGCAAGCATGCCAAGAGGCAGAATCTCCTGGTGGAGCAGGAGGTGAGAGGGGAAACCTGTGTCTGCGAG